CATTTTTCGATCTTTTTCGTCGCGCTGTGATGACGTCACATACGCGCTTTCGTCGACCGCGATTTTGTCGTCCGCGGTTTTGTGGTGGAACCGGACTAGAAGACCTCTGTGGTTTCTTTCAACCCCATGATTCTGTGTTCTCTCCAGCTCCATCACCCCACTCCCCACCTCATACACCAAGCACAGGGAACCTATATTTCACAATCACAAAATACCAAAAGTTTGGAGGAGGTCTTCCTCCCTTGCCAGTCAACTAGGGGTTTAGCAAACCATGATTACAAGCAATTCCTACAGTTCTGGCAGGCGAGGAGATTGGAAACATGATTCAGATTGGCAGCTGTTTCAGAGAAACCCACCACATGGTCTCATTTCCGGTGTGCAAATACAGTATGTGTATGTGCAGTTAGAGGGGGAATAAAGAATGCATTAAGCCATGGGTGCTTCCTGGTACTGACAACGCTGTGAGGAGAAGCATCCAGAAAATATTAGGTGGAAAAGAACAGTATTTAATTTACAGTGGAGTGTGGGTGTTTTTTCTATCAGCGATTAGTAAGGTTGTACTTTATTTACATTGCTGTATTAGGAAACTGCCTTAGTCATTGTATAAGCTAATTTTATCTTAACCCCACAGAAATAAAACCCATTTCAATGTTAGTCCTGTCATTCCCAGTATGTTTTATAACATGGCTCTCAAATGCCATCCAATCTGACCTTAAGCTAAACACAGCTCTGTGTTCCTTCTATTGTTTCACCTCTAATTGTTCTGGAATAGTTACTGTGGGGTTCTTGGTGGTTTCTTGCAAACGTTTCATTACCAAACTAGATAACAAAATCAGTGCCAAGAACCCCACAGTTTAACCCTGAGCTATAAATATTCTCTTCTATTGAACTAATTATATATATATTTTTAGAAGGATAGGATATTAACTTGTTTCAACTCCTACTTTCCTTATGTGGATGCATATCCATTGCCTAAGTTTTGAAAGCTATTTTGGAAGACCACCTACATTTCGTCCAATTATGTAAATGCAGTAGGCTGTTCTGCTTTAAGATACTAAGAATGTAGAACCAGAGATAGAAGAAAAGGCAACTAACAAACATACACAATCAAAGTTCACCCCTGAAGGATCGTTATGTCTAGATTTTAAGATCATACAGTTACTTACACAATCTCCCCCACAGTTTGACTTTGGACACACAGAATGTTCCTTAAGCCATGGTTTGGCACTCTGGCTGATCACACCCTGATGGTCAATGCAGCTGATCTTCCTTGCTGCCCTAAGAAGAATGAATGGTCAAAGAGAAGGAGCAGGAATGGAGGGCAGGGGAGCCTGGGCTGACCATCCAGCCTCCCTTCCTCCCCCACCCCAGAGGTTTCCATATTTATTTATTTATTTATTTATTTATTTATTTATTTATTTATTTATTTATTTATTTATTTATTTATTTATTTATTTATTTATTTATTTATT